GTTTACATAAATTATTATTGAAGTTTTGCCACTAGAAGGGCAAAAGTATCAGCAACTGGCCCCTGACATTTGAGGTCCTGACCTAATTAGTAAAGAAACTGTTGACCCTCTGCTGATTGCCTTATGAGGCTGTTTTATTTGAAGTGGCATTCACTCTAGCCTTTTTTGGGGCACTGCGGGTTGGGAAGCTGGTGGAAAACTCAAGAACAGATGCAGCTAACTGCCCCCTGGTGTTTAGTAACCTTTTGGATGGGAGTTTCCCTGACCATAAGGCAGACTAAGACTGATCAGTGGGCACGGGAGACTCACTTGCACTTGACCCTGCTTCCAGGGTGTGTGTGGACCACATGGGCTTTTCTGGTGATATGCCCACACAAGCCAAGCCCCTTATTCATCCACAGGGATGGCTGTTTACTCATGAGGTACCAGTTTGCTGGGGTCCTGTAAGCTGGTGTGTTCACTTTGGGCCTTCCCCCGGGAGACTTTGGGCCCCATTCTTTCCATATTGGGGCTGCAACTACAGCCTCCAGACTGGGCATACGGCCCACAAGCATCCAGGTCATTCACCCAAATCTGGTATCCAATGTTTAACATTGACTCCTTCAGTTTCAGAGGAATGATGTTCATTGATCTGGATCTGTGGACACAACATTGTACATTGGGCAAGCATTTACGTTGCCTCGTCCGGTTGGGGAAGGGACCTCGGCCTGCAGGATAAGATGGGAGTCACTTGGCTAGACGAATGAGGAATGAAGTGAGATTCCCCTCTACCTATGGTGCAGTCCCTTTTAATAAATCACGAGCCTCTGAATGTGCTGGTGATACAACTTGGTGAGAATGATTTGGGAGCCCACTCTAGCATTGGTTTGATGCACCGGGTCATAGCAGACCTGTGGACGTTGAGGGAGGAACTCCTGGCTACATCCTTTTTCTGGTCTGATTGGCTGTAATGTCACTCCTGGCAGAGGGCTCACTATCCTGACCAGGTCGACACAAGGGAAATTCTCTAGAATAAACTAAGGGCTTCTAGCATCGAGATACACCTTTTGTTTCTTATTAAGGCCCTTTACAACCAAACGTTTGGAAGAGTGAGGTGTATTCCACAAGGATATCTCACAGAGCCTATTAGAACTAACAGGCAGATCAAACAAGGTTGAATTCCTGCACCCCTCCTGTCATGATCTGGGCTGTGCAAGCAAGGCCTAGCAGGCCCAGGAAGCCTGTGTAGTAGTGGGAGGAGGCTAGGTCTACAACTTCGAGAAGCCCCAGAGAGGTTTTGGCGCCAATTTTAGCCAGTCACAGGGAAAGGGGACTTATAACAAAAGAGCTGGTACAGAAGAAGAGCTGTTCTTCCTTCCAAGAGAGCAGAGCCAGAAGGAAGGCTGCTGCAGGGAAGAGACCCTCATCCTGAGAGGAAGGGTGAGCAGACTGAGGCCCACTTGAGACAGTGAGCTAGGGACAGTAAGTTTAGACGTGTTAGGGCATTTGGTTTCTTTTCTTTTCACCCCTTACTGATATTGTTCTTGCACCTTGTTTGTTTCCCATTGGGCTGACCTCCTGTAAAAATAAACCTTTTCCTTGTTGTTTACTCTTCCTGGTCCTCACACTTATTTCGGCCATACAAGGGAGGTCTGAAGGTCTTAGGAGGGTGCACTGGGCCTTCTCAAGGGATCCTAAAACTAGAGTGGTGGCAGCATCAGGTGACATCCCACCAGAGTCATGACACCTTCCCTTTAATTTTTATATTAATGACCTGATAACATTTATCAACAAACCTGAGCATCATGCCCCAAGGCTTGGCAGCAGACATCTAGGGGTACTTCTATACGCTGTTTTACTTTCAAGGACCTCAATAGGCTTCAGGAGAACCACGGGTTCCTTTACCCAGTACCGCTGTGAGAACAAATTAGAAGCTAATTTTTCCAAACCAAAAGTAATGGTCTTTACAAAAAGTAAAACTCCAAAAATATTGCTGGCTTCTTGATATCAGTCCTACAGATCAAGTCTTTTGTTTTAAATATCTAGGGTCTTCTTCTAGGTCAACAGCTCAAGAACAATTAATAAAAATTCTGTTGTTTCTGATGTTAAAAGGAGCTCAGGCGCAACAAGGGGGGCAAAAGTGTGGTAGCAGCTCTAAGAGTGTTCAAGGCCAAATCTCTTGCCCATCTTACCTATGGAGGCCCAATTAACATTACTTGAAACATCAGGAAATTGGACAGTTTGATCTAAATTTTTGAGAACAATTTTATAAGTGCTTGATGGTGTCCCTAATGCTTGTACATGTCTGGAATCGGGTATGATAACAGTGGAGGCATGACTATGGTTAGCAGTGATTCTGTATTGGTTAAAATTAGTATTTTTTCCAAGGAAATTGTCAAGGTTAATACTTCTAGATTCCTCTGCTCCTCCATGGATAAGGGCACTGGAAAAGAAATTACCTTTTTATGGGTTTTCCAAGCAATTTCTGTGCTCCCTGAGTTATGATAAAGCCAGGGGTCGTTTCGTAGAAAAAGAGCTAGGGGAACTCATTAGCATAACTCATTAGCATATGCCACACCCCCTGACATCACCGGAAGTGTGTCATGAGGCCACACCCCCTGACATCACCGGAGGTGTGTCATAAGGCCACACCCCCTGACATCACCGGAGGTGTGTCATAAGGCCACACACCCCGCCCCCAATGGTCCTGGCCACCGCCGCCGGCCTTGCAGCTCCACTGCCGAGTCCCATGAGGGGCCCGGCGGTGGACCTGCAAGGCCGGCGGGAGTGCGAGGAAGCCCCGCGAAGGCCCTCCCTGGCCCCAGGCAGACAGGGGTGGGGAGAGGCAGGGAGGAAGCAACTTACCCTCCCTCTTCTCCTGCCTCCTCCTGGCTGAATGAGGGCCGGGAGCAGGGCAGCTGGAAGCAGGGGGCGGGGCTTCGTCATGTGCCCCGCCACCCGTACCTCACCCGGGGGAACTGCGATCCCCCCAAAATGACCTCTGGATAAAGCCAAGGCTTTGGTCAAACAGAGAGTTAATGATACTGGAAGGCAACATGATTTGGATAGAATAGAATAGGGAGAGGGAGACTTTGTCCAGAACCCACTATGAGGGCAACCCCTATGCCTTATCTTTCCCAATTATTAAATCAAGAGTATAGGAGAGTGTTCACACAAATGCGCTGTGATGCACTTCCCTCAGCTGTTCTTGAAGGAAAGTATAAAAAGATTCCCAATGAAGGAAGAATTTGCCCTTGCTGTAATGAAGGTATTGAATCACTAGATCATGTCCTGTTCGATTGCAAGGTGTATAACAAATTTTGTGAATCCCTCCCTCTGCCTATGTCATTAGCTTTAAATGGTAGACAGAGATCATGCCTTCTGAGAAGCTTTCTTTCAGATAGGAATCTCAACATTACTTACCAGGTTGCTAGATTTTGGCTGGCTTGCTGCAAGGCTTAGGAAAACTGTCATAACTCATGTAGGAAATTGTTGAAATTTTAAACTTCTTAATAGACTTTGTAGTATTCTACTATATTCTGAATGATTTTATTATGAGGTATTATTAAAATTCTATTGTGAATTTTATTATTGTTGTATTGCCCCTATTGTATTGTTTGTGATTAATGCTCTGGCCATAGATTGTGAATAAAACTTATACTATACTATACCAGGTTGACTTAGTGAGGAGGAAGGTGACCAAGAGGCTGGGCAGGACTGTGAAGGCTGTGGGTGGTGGTGGTGCTGGGGGTTTTGCTGGATTTGCCATCTGGAAATTTCACTCCAATTAGATGCCCTGTTCCCTCACCTATCTCACTGGCAAATGGATATCTGGCTGCAAGCCTACACACTTAGCTACAGCTATAGGAGCATTGGCAGGAGGGTGTCAGGAGGCCCAGCTCTTGTGACGGTATCAGCATGGGGCCGGATCCATTCTCAGGAAAGCTGGCCTGCATGCCTATTTTCATGAGTATGGGGATCCCCTTAAGGGATCTTGGCATGAGGGGTCAAGAGAAACACCCAGCCTGGGGGCACAGGCAGGGATTACCCTCATGCTCAGGTGGCAGGAGAGGGCACATCAGAGCATCCACCCTTGTGGGATCTAGTGACGTGTCATCCCAAGGTTTCCTGCGATTCCAGCCATGAGGCTGGAGTAGCCAGGTGATCATCAACTGGCAGGCGGGTCAGTTGATGAACAGGACCCGGTACCCCATGCTGTGCCAAAGCATACTACAGCTGTAACGAATGAAGTTATGGCCAATTTTATTCCACTTTCTGAAAAGAAACAACAACAACAACAACTGTGTGTTTGTGTTATTCAGATGGGGCTGTGAACAGGGTTACCAGTGGGGGTGTAGAGGAACCCCTCACCTTTGATGCCCGCCTTGCCCCTCACCGTGGTGCTGGGGCTGTAAGATCAGGCTAGCCTGGGCCACACAAGTCAGGTCATCAACCAGATACTTTATATATTTTCATCCAAACAGCCATAATCAGATAATAGAACAGAAACCTGGATAAACTCCCCTCCACAATAATCCACAATGCCTTGCACACATTTCTTCCAAGCAGATATACGTGAATGTTTCAACCACACTAATAAAAAACATATATGCACATGCATGTCTTACCTTGTAAAAATGAACACATGTATCGAACAGAATAAATCTGTAAAATGATTCTCACTGAACTCAATGGACATAAGCACAATTAATAATGTACAAAATGGTAAATTAGAGAGTCATGAAAAAAATCACTAAAGCTTCATAATGGCTCATAATGCTAAAAATAGTAGAACCAACATGTGATGACGAATACAGAATATTAAACTAAATTCAACAATCAGTTCTGATTGGTCACCTTAAGTTGTATATTAGTGACCTGTGTTCATTAGTGGCTAGCAATACATACTACAAATCAGATGATATGACATAAAAAAACAGTGTAGAAGAATTATTAAAGTCAATAAAAATATAATTTTGATTGGGGGGGGGAACAGAAGGGAAGGGATCATCTCTACTCACCAAGAACAGTGTTCTGAATGTGCTCAGATCTCCGAAGAATTCCTCAACACACACAGCCTTGGAATCAAAACAGAAGTAGTCTCCCAAACTGTCATATAACTTAATCATGTTGTTGTGCATGTTAGATAATTTTTCATATTGGTCTCTGGCGCTCTTCGCAAAGCTGTAGTCTTATAGTTAAGGAAGCTTGAATAAAACGAGTAGCAAAGCAGCGTACAGTGGAGTAAGACTGGTCAGTCACTTCAAAGCAATTCTCTACCATTCCAAAACACTCCCGGAACACAGTGCAATCCTAAACAGCGTTATACCCTTGTCAACTGAAGTCAATTGTTTTTGAAAGGTGTAACTCTGCTTCAGATTGTCCTGCCACCTGTCCACATCATGAACTTCTGAAGTTGGATCATGTCTTGTGTGCATCACAACATTTCACCATCCACAAAATCGCTGATGGCTGCTATGGAGCATTCCTTGTCTTGTGTTCTTTAGGGCTGATCTTGACTGACGTGAGAGAGGACAGAACACTGGTGCTTGAAATATAAGTCAAAATGGCCATCTCTGAATAAGGAAACCTGCACCTATGACAAAACAGATGAGCATTCATCTATGCCCAGTCCCACTCATTTGTTGTTGTTGTTTTAATTCAGCAAGCATCAGGAAAGGTGCCCGCAGATGCCATGGTGCCCATGGGCACCACATTGGGGTCCCTGATGTACAGATTATGAAAATGCAGGGCTATTTTTGGGCAGGAACGCACAGGAACGGCATTCCGGCTGGCTTCCAAGTTGGCCATGCCCAGCAGGAGCTCATTAGCATAATAGGCCACACCCAACAACAGAGACTCATTAGGACTGGCTACATTAGGGGTGTGTGGCCTAACATGCCAAGGAGTCCCTGCTACAAAAAAAGGCCCTGGGTTTTGACCACAAACAAGGTAAACAGAATAAGAAGCAAAAGGTGGGTGTGGCTGGATGAGCACACTTCTGGTAACATGGGGGTGTGGCCTAATATGCCAATGAGTTGTGCCGTCAGGGGTGTGGCCTAATATGCTAATGAGTCTCTGATGTTGGGTGTGGCCTATTATGCTAATGAGTTCCTGCTGGGCTTTATCTACCAAAAGAGCCCTGTGAAAATGCATTTCTAAGAGATCAGCAACAAGTTTTTAGAGGTGGAGTTGCGTTAGTTTCTTACAGCAAAAATAAAGAGACTTGTGGCACCTTAAAGAAAGAGCTACTGCATATGGAATTCTACACCACAATAAATCTGTTGCATCTTTAAGGAGGCACCAGAATGTTTCTGTAGTTGTCATGAAGAGACTTTGGAAAAACAACAACCAGGAACTCAGCAAGTGAGGAGCCAAGGTAAGTGAGAACTAAAATCAAACCCAGAAGCACCTTAGAGACCAACAAGACTTTTGCAGTATAAGCTTCTGAGAGTTAAGTCAGAGAAACGGGAAATTATTTAAATAGGAGTAGGAAGACCGCCGGAATAAACCCTTAGCCTCCAGAAAGTTACACGCCTAAACAATGCGCAAAGGAACAAATCTTTTTATTAACATGCAGAGGGACTGCAAATTCTTGTAATGATCCGTATAATAATCAGCCGTTCCCTTTTTGGTTTCTCTAACTATACAGCTGCAACTGAACCCGTTTGATACATTAACAAAGTTCACACTTAAAATTATTTTAAAACAGGCATTAACAAAAGTTACTAAGTCTTGTTTTCAGGTTTTAGAATGTGAAACACTAAAGTCGATTAGTCTATTAACAAGGGTCACCAAAGAGTAATTTCTATCAGCAATAAGACTAGAGATAGCTAAACGACATTGGACTATTAACTACATCTGAAAGGCCTGCATTTTCCCAGTGGCCCTTCCTGGGTTCAGTTTAAGCCGGGCTTTGGACATGTTATGCCATAACTCCAATGTACATTGCACATTCAGATAGAAGCAGCCTGACTTGTATGTTAATAGAATGCAGAATTAGACTTGTCACAATCACTGTATTACCACAGCAATTTCAGAACACAATTTGACAACTCATAACTAGATCCAACTGATTAAAATGGCATTTAGTATTACAATGGAGGAGGAGGAGCTGGTTTTATATCCCACCCTTCACTACCCAAAGGAGTCTTGGAATGGCTTACAATTGCCTTCCTTTCCTCTCCCGCAACAGACACCCTGTGAGGTAGGTGGGGCTGAGAGAGCTCTGAGAGAACTGTGTCTGACCCAAGGTCACCAAGCTGGCTTCATGTGGAGGAGTGGGGAATCAAACATGGTTCTCCAGATTAGAGTCTGCCGCTCTTAACCACTACACAAAGCTGGCTCTCCCATTTCTCTATTCAAGCACTGAAATCAGATGCACCGGGGTGGGGGGGGTGGGGTGGGGAGGCAGAATACAACTGCAGATAAGCATCTTTGTAACACCATAATGGTCCAATGCATGATCCTGAGTTGTTTCAGTACATTTTGGTTTCACAATGCAAGTAAGAAAATATAGAAGATCAAGGTACAGCAATGCCATTTGTAATGAAATGTTATTAAGAGGGGCAAATCCTATATACAAAGTCAGAATGGAAGCTGTGGACTTTCAAGAAGCAACTTGCAAAAGCAGTGATGGGGGCACAATCAAACAGCAACTGCTGTTTCAACACATGCCATTCTTCCAGTACTGTGTTAGTTCAATAATTTCTGTGCCTTCATTGTAGCGAACTAAATTAAGCATGGAACACCTAACATTGCCAACAAGTGCCACTGTTCTATTGCAGTAAGTGCACTGTACCTTTTTATTAATAAGTGGAAAAGACTGGAAATCAACCCAAGATCTACTTGACCTTCATAACTGTTTCGTTACAAATTGCATAATTATCACTTGAAGTGGAAGGAAGCAATTCTATATAAAAATTAAACTTTTAGAACAATGTGAATGCAAATAAAGGTTAACATTCTATTAAGGGCATAATTAAGCCATCCATTTCCCATTCTTTTGTTCTAAATTTAATAAAAGTTTCATTTAATTAAAAGGATGTGACCAAAAAACCCAAAACCCACCCCACACACAAAACTTAAGTTCCTTAGCAGATATAATAGCACGTTATAGTGTTGGAGGTGCTGGAAGCTAAAGCAATTTGGTTTGTTGTTCGCTGCACACCACTCTCTTTTTAGCATCAGCGGGACACACTCCTGAACACCTTCACATTGTATTCAACATTCTCTGGAAAAGAAGCCAAAGATTTATGTGTCAGAATATGATGCATCTCTCTGCATGTCCAGTGTACATATAATCACATATATACACACCCATTCTCCCATATTCTGCCAAGAAATTTAGCTGTTGTCATATTACTAATTGTAAACTTTTTAAAATTAAGTTTCATACGCTATGAACAAAAAAGTAGATTTTACAGATTTCAATGATTTTTATTTTACTTTCCAACTCTATTAACTACCATCCTTTTCTCTCTCAATTTTTTAATTGAATAAAGCATAACAACAAGTAAAGAACACATTATGCACAGCTCAGAGACTACAGACCAGTAATGAGAGGGATTTGCTGTGAACTTATCAGAAGATACCGTATGACAGAATCCCATTAATACAATATTTGACATAAAGTACCTGCCTTATCTAATTCAGACATGTTAAAAAGAACATATTTTTGAAAGAGAGGGTTAACTGGGATTACCTCTTGTTCCAGTAAATATTGTAAAACTGGGAACCGCATGACTATAAATGTGGCCTGATAATTCAGCTTATCTAAATTCTCTGTGATTTTTGCCATAACATAATGTTCCCAATTTTTTATATTAACTACCATCCTAATGAATATGGTGGCAACTCGTAAAATCAATCCTTGGGCGAGAAAGTATACCAGTGAAATAAAGGTCTAAGGTATTTTGCTTTTATTTTTAAGAACCAATAAACTGAGTATGTTTTTGTTCCTCAAACATCACATCTGGGCACATGCATATGGCAAAGTTTGTTTGAATTTTGGGAAGTCCTAATGCATTGTGATGTGGCATGGTAGTGTCTCAGTAGTACGATGTTAAAAATTCACTGGCACAATATAAGCGGCTCATATAAGCCTATGTTGTATGTGCATCTTGTCTCTCTCGTTTTACAGATACAGAAATTCATTTACAGCATATAATGATGCTGTCTCTTGACTGCTAGGACACAAATAAGCAAAGCTTCCATTATCTGTCACCTGTCAAGGAACTTTCACTTCCAAACACCATGTGCCTCCTGCATTAGTGTTTTCCCTGTGGAGGAACTGCAGGGGGTATCTTGCTTGCTCACTTCCCCCCCCCCCCAATCAGTCCTGCTTCTACCTTAAAGCTGTTGTCTGCTTATCTCGTTAAAGCACCAACAAGCAGGCGAGCAAGTTAGCGAAATGTTCTGAAAAGAGAAGATGTGTAAAAAAAAGAAAAAAAAGAATTGTGAAGGCTGAATTGAATGTTCAAGAATAAGCTATCCGAGCCACCTTTCCAAATAGGAGAAGATGGCTGGCAGCATTAATATTCACATAACACTGATTCCCAGATTGGTTTAGAATAATTAGACTTCAAACAGATTGTTCACAAACACACACATCCATAATATTACTACTGTACTGCTCCACTACTCTAAATCCACCATCCATTAATTTTAATGAGGTTGGACAGAATGTTTAATTTGTAAAGGAAGAAGTATCATTTGACATCTGTAACAACATGGGACTGCCTTATGGGTTTATTTCCTGTACAGATTACCAAGAGAATACATGTTGATGCAGTTTGAATGCTGGAGAGATTCCTCATCAAATTAGCATTACGTAATGTTTAATGTGATTGCAGGTGAGCCAGCAAATGTATTTATCATTTATTGCTGAATTTCTTCCCTGTCCCCCCAACAAAGAAAACTGAACAAAAAGAAATGTTGGCTAGGATTTCTCTCCCCAAAGTGAGCAATAAAAAAAAAAGCCACAGGAAGAACTGCTGGCTATTCAGCCTTAATCATCTCTATGATATGACCAGGATATAGTCCAATTATGTTTTTCCACTCATAGCCATTTGTATCATTCAACCCTGCACAGAGTTGCCCCAGTCTAAGACCAATGCATTTTTATTTATTTAAGTTATTTACAGTCTGCCTTTCCCAGTGATTCAGTGTGGATTACACAAAATGA